AACTGCTACAAAAAAAAGAAACATTTTCAGCAAAGATTTGCAATATAGTCAAGGACAACTTACTGCATGAAACAGGTAAACACACTCCTTAACACAAACATGGCAGTGGCAAACTGGCCTGAAATGCTGCATTAAAGTTTGCTTCCTTACTGAAAGTTTCAAATGCTGAGGACCAGACAAATAAGCAGTGAAAACAGAATGTAGGGAATTTAACAATAAAATAGCTGGCAATGGAAAATAGTTTGTGCAGTGCAGAAGAGGTAACAACCTTTAAAGCAGTCCAACTTCAAATGCTCAGCATCTACAGGATACACAAAGCCAGTATAATCTGACAATTAGTTAGAAACTTCAGCTTATGCATTCTCAGACCCAAAAGCTGGATGAAGTTTGAAATTATTGCATTCTGTACAGTGCCATCCTCTCTTCCAACTGTTATTATTTAGAAAAGCCTAGAGAGTATTTAAGCTGAAGTCACTTTGTATAACTGTAAAAAGTTTATCCATTGCCATACAAAACTTTAGGTTTCCTTAGCCTCGATAGCCAGAATTATTGTCACAGCTGTTGGGGGACCAGTTCAACCCAAGAATGACTGGATCTCAAACCCGCCTGAAAATTAGATGATCAAAAATTATGTGTGATGATTAAAAAAGCCTTTAACATGAATGAAACAGCTTTCAGAAGTGATACAGGAAAGCAGGTGTTTAGAAAGAGACAAACTTTTCCAGCTGACAAAACAGACTGAGAGGAAATGCAGGTAGTCAGCAGTCAGTATCAGGAGACACGAGTGGCAATGAAAAGAATTAAAGTGGGAAAGATTTCATTTGAAAGCACAGAATAATGCCAAAACATTATTTAATAGTAGGCAGGAAAATAATAAAAGGACTCAGGAAAGGGGATTTAGGTATTGTGCTGTGTGGCTGCAAATGTATCAAGCACAGAATACACTCAGGAATATTTAAGTTTCTATAACTAGTTTTCAAACGATTCCAGTGGTGTTTGTTTTTGCCATGCCTCCCAGATTCCAACAACTATCATGCATAGGGTCTCAGTAACTAAGTTTTGCATATTAAGTATTACAGAAGAGATAAGAAAAAGCCAAGTCAGATGACAGAGCAAGCTCAGAGTGCTTTCTTGGTAGAGTACCTGAAATCAAAGTATCAACACTGCTCCTCAATTTCAACATGTTTTATGGCAAAGATATCCATCTCTAAAATCTGAATCTAGGCTGACTGACTCTAACATACAGTAAGGCAAGCAAGCCCCATAGCAAGCACAGGAGCCTGCCAATTAATAGCTAAACAGCATTAACAACCATAAATTTGATCTAGCACATTCCAATCAAACCTGACATTATCCCGAACCCTTTGATTCCCACTGTTGGGTGCCAAAAAGGACTGTCATGGTTTAACCCCAGCCGGCAAGTAAGCCCCACACAGCTGCTCGCTCACTTCCCCTGTGGTGCGATGCAGGAGAGAATTGGAAGAGTAAAAGTAAGAAAAAAAATCTCGTGGGTTGAGACAAAGAGTTTAATAGAAAAGTAAAAGCTGCGCACACAAGCAAAGCAAAACGAGGAATTCCTTTGCTACTTCCCATGGGCAGGCAGGATGTTCAGCCATCTCCAGGAAAGCAGGGCTCTGTCACGCATAGCAGTTACTTGGGAAAACAAATGCCATCACTCCGAACGTCTCCCCTTCCTTCCTTCTTCCCCCAGATTTATATGCTGAGCATGACATCAGAGAATCATTTAGGTTGGAAAAGATCTTTAAGATCATCCAGTCCAACCATTAACCTAACATTACCAAGTCCACCACTAAACCAATTAAGGATGGAGTAATAATTTCATGTTTCATGGCTTGGTGGCTGGGTTATTTTTAATGAAAGTCAAAACTAGGAATGATTAAGGTTGGAAAGGATCTCTAAGATCGTCAGTCCAACCATCAACCCAACACCACCATGCCCACTAAACCATGTCCCAAAGTGCCACATCTACCCGTTTTTTGAACACTTCCAGGGATGGCGAGTCCACCACCTCTCTGGGCAGCCTGTTCCAATGCTTGACTACCCTTTCTGCAAAGAAATTTTTCCTAATATCCAGCCTAAACCTCCCCTGGCGCAGCTTGAGCCCGTTTCCTCTTGTCCTATCACTAGCTACTTGGGAGAAGAGACCAACACCCACCTCCCTACAACCTCCTTTCAGGTAGTTGTAGAGAGTGATAAGGTCTCCCCTATGGCATATCCTTTTGGGCAGTGTGGGTCGGCTGTCCTGGCTGTGTCCCCTCCCAGCTTCTTGTGCCCCCCAGCCAACTCACTGGTGGGGTGAGGTGAGGAGCAGAAAAGGCCTTGACTCTGCATGAGCACTGCTCAGCAGTAAGGAAAACATCCCTGTGTTATCAACACTGTTTTCAGCACAAATCCAAAACAGAGCCCCATCCTAGCTACTATGAAGAAAATTAACTCTATCCCAGGCAAAACCACCATACTAGTTACAATAGATAGGGAACCATCTGTTCCGTTGTGAGGTTTTTATACACTGAAGTTATTCTAAAAAACTAGGGATAATGCAAAATCAGATTTAGGCACATGTGAGTTAATTTCAGCAAAATATAAAATCCAAACCAGATAGTCCAGGTGTAATAACACTCTAAAGAAAGACACATCCATTTACTGCTGTGAAGATTAATTAGAAATCAAATTTATCAAAACCGCCATACTTAAAGCTGTCATGTTACAGCATCATTGAACAAAGGACAAAAAACCCTGTATTCCAAACAGATTGTATTCAAAATTTATTTTAAATAAAAGAAAAAACAAGACAATGATTTTAAATAAACATGGTATATTCTACACATCCGTAGATCAACACAACTTTACATTAGCCACTTTAACTTTTAGAAGTTTTCTTGCAGCTTCTTCTACAACATTTGACAGTATTGGTTTCCATTTCATAATCAACTGAACAACACCCACATGAAACTATTTGCTTAAGTGAAGCTTTATTTTTTTCATGACCAAAGATGGCTCTACTAATACAAAAGCACCTGTTAAACAATTATCCCCACCTAATTTTTTTTTAAAATGTAGTCTGTTCAGCCTTTTTTTTTTGGTTCTGTTCCATTGCCTGCATAGAAATCAGCATAAAGCTAAGTTGCAAGCTAAGCTTCACTTCAGCAGTGCAATGAATGGCATCAAACTTAATGAAACAAATGAAGATACAAACATTGTCAGCAAAATTCAACTGTGTAAAAAACAATATTAAAACCAGAATGTTTTCATGGGTCACAACTAGACTAGCTTTCAGTGTGCAACTTTCCTCAGGAGAAGTGCTTCTTCCTGATTCACATGAAAAGAATGAAGCATGCATCAAAAGCCTTTGTTCATACAGAAATGCCCATTAAAAGAGTTCCATGGTATCATAAGGCAAAAGAGATATTAAGGTGGATGAAGCATTTTGGCCCAGAGTATGTTTTACGACACATACATATACATTACGCTTGTGTAGCATATGACAGGTTAGGGATTGGCTCAGTAAGGTAAAAATGTCCATTTTTATAAATACATGTCATTATTGCTAATATGCTACACGTTATCATCAAACTTTTAAAGCTGCTTTGTTGGCATTAGCCTTGTAATTAGCAGCTCACATTCATGGTGACAATATGCTATTCCATCTGAAAAAAAGTAAAGCAGCATAAATACAATTATGAAAACAAAAGGCTTATGCAACATCCCTCTCTAGCTTTGCTGTGTTCTTTTAATTAAAAAGTGTTCAAAGAAAACAAGTCCAGTTCACCACAAATTAGGAAGTCTCACAATGAGGTGGGAAACCAACCTACAGGGAGCAGAGGGGAAAAACACGGCATGCATTATAATCTAGGCCTTTTAGTCATACCACTGGCTAGACTAACAGTAGAAGGCAAAAAGCCAAGAGTAGACTTAGTTTGATATTTAAATTAAGATTACAATTTTAGTCAGTAACAAACTCATCTGGCCTTTTAATATATTCACAATATCTACTGCAATTGTATACTTAATTATGACTAGTATAGGTATGTATGTTCACTTTAAAAAAGATATTAAATACCTGCATCATGAAAGTACATTCTTAAGACATTGTGTAAGAAAATAGCTCACGTGTGAAATGTTTCTGAAATGTACTTCTGCTCCCTTCTACCACCTACTATGTCCCCCCCTGCCATGCACACTCCCCCCCCCCCCCCCCCCCCGTCCAAGCATTCAGTCACAGGGAAAAACAAATACCCCTTAAAAAAGGATGGAAATATTGAAGGGGACCAGCTCGGCTAGTTACAGCACAGTGCTTAACAAGGTTCAAGACAGAACCAGATCAGAGTTGGCCAAAAGATGCCCACAATACATGCCTGACCAGTAATTCCTTCTAACTCATTCTATCAAACTCAGTCCACTTTTGGTTCATTGCAATCACTAAAGTATTTCATATATACATATAAACACAAGACTCCAGCTTTACTTTAGTTTGTTTTTGCAAAGCGTTTTTACATTTCCATTCATTTTGTTCTGCAGCAACTACAAGAGGTAGGCATAAAGCATTTAAGAGCTTCTTTCCCAAGGTCCTGTTACCAGCTCAATTTAGTGGGATAAAACAAAAATGAGCTGTACTTCTGTGATTTTACTAGGTACAGCCTTGTACAATCCAGCTGGAAAATAGCTATGTGAACCCTGGATTTGCTAGGCTAGCACACCATAGAGTAAGAAGCTGTTCATATCCAGGAGGATACTTTTTTTAAAGAAGTTACTGCAGAGCATTCCTATAGAAAGTAGATGTCAGGACCAATTCTCTCCATTTCTATTTGTACATAGGAGCAAGGTACCATTTGGCCAAGACGACAGATGTATTTTCACAGATGCAAGTGCCATGCAAAAATAAATTAAAGAACAGATACCAAAACATACAAGTAATAAAACTACTGAAGGTAGATTTTCTTCAAAGTATTTATATAAACAATTTATAACACTTTTCTCCCCCCCTCTTCTCTTTCTGACATTCACGATTACAAAGCTGTGGCTATACATCAAGAATTTCTTCTGCAGTGCCTCCACAACGTAATCTGTAGCGTCCTGTCCTCCAGCTAATAGTGGGGTCCCACAAAGCAGATAGGAAAATATAAATTGTCATGGATTCTCTGATGAACCAAGCTACTGCATAATCAAGTTTTGAAAAACACAGAGCACCACCCTAGGAATATAAAAAAAACCACAAGTATTTCAACATACTGATTATTCAAAAGGAATTTTAAAGTAATTTAAAACATTTGCATTACAGATAAATCTATTCTAGAGTTTATACAGATTTACATATCAATAGCATTTTTTTTTTACAAGCCAAGAACATTTTCCTGTTCAAGATATGATTACCTATATTAAACATAAGGACCTTGGCAGAATGACCCAGAAGGTTTGAAAAGAGACTTGTACACAGAGCAAAAGGCAAGGAAAAGTGTGACAATTTCACTTTTTTTTTTTAAGCTGTGTAAAACTGTGTTCAAGCAGACACTGTGTTTTTGCCACAGACCCCAGAAGAACACCATCTACACAGAACACTCCTGCACATTCCCAGAGGAGTGAAATTCAAATAAACAAGCCTTTGGCCTATTGCATAGGAAATGTGGGACTAAGGGAAAAAAAAATGCTTATACCCTCTCTATATTTTCTGCTCCTTTGAGCATTTTCAGCTACATGCAGAGCTGGAAATCAAAGAGGCTTCAGAAGAGGAGTCGTCACACAAAGCCCTTTTACATGCTGTGCATGGTGAGAAGAGTAATCAGAAAGGTGACTGTTAAACTGACCTTGTGGAGTCCTACAGAACCAACACAAGGCCTAACTATTTTTTGTATTTCCAGTATGTGTTAAGACTCCCAAGAGTATTTTTCAGTATGATGAGAACTATTTGATAAGTTTGAATACAAAAGTAATTATGGATCACATCTGGATGGAATATGGTCACAGCAGAAAGTAGTCTAAATAGTTCCTACAGCATTAGAAGAACAAATGCTGTTCTGATTTGTGACATCTCTCTGTATTTAAAGTTTTTTGAGGCCTCACTTCTAGCAATGAGAAGATTTTATTTTTAGAAGTAGGCTACAGCTGTCCTGTAAGTCCATTATTACCAAAATAGAGTGAAAAAATGTCCTTAAGAGTACATATACACCTCAATAAATACAAGACAAAGTGACAACTAAGATAAAATAAAAAACATAAAATCCCACAAAGCTGCTGTTCTTGTACTGTTAAGGAAAGCTTAAAATTTCTGGATATGCCGAGGTAGAGCAGACTGGAAACATGAAGATTAAGGGGATAGATATGCAAACTTTCAGAGCCTAGGTAGAGGCAGGTACATACAGAAAACAAAATTACAACCAAGCACGCTTACTCTTTTTCATGCTACTGTAACTGAAGCTAGAAGACTGAGAAGTAACAGGATTTGACCAGTTATTTCCTTGATGTCAAGACAATTATTTTGCTGTTATAATTAGGCTTAGCTTTTTGCTGAAGTAGATGGCACTAATAACTTTAATAACTTCCAAAGAAAATGAAGCTACATACCTGAACACCTTTTAGTTGAATGTAGTCAAATATAAACCATGCCAAGCAGTGACACATGAAAAATACCATTATATCCCATCTAAACACATGATGAGCTGCCCATCCAATAACTAGACTGGCAACAAAGCACTCTGAGATTGGCTCACAAATTATTGTGGCAGGCAACATATTAATTCGCAGTTTGGCCCACCTAGAAAAAGACAAACAAGTAATTTCTCACTGTGCATTATTCTTTATGTCCTCTCCCCCCACCTCATGAAATGATGACCCATCACGGTCTTTTCTGACACTGTTAGTTTCATCTCATTTAATTTACATCTCCAAATAAAATATTGCAAAAATTCTCCCTTTCAAAGATACCACACATAGCATTTAGAAGTTACTAACTGGGGGTTTTTTGAATACTCCTCTGAGTCATACCTCTGTGGAAAGTCAGTGCCTCTCTCCCAACACTAACAAGAAGCATGCATCAAGCTGTGTATTAGAACTTCAGCATTCTGGACATTAGATTGAATTAGCTTGGAAAATGTGTTCCCTCTCATTATCAGGTTATTCACATCAGTAGCAGGTGACAGGGGTGGGTGGGAAAGGAAGCAAGGATTAAATTTTTACCTGATCATTCTGGACTGAAACTGAGAAATAGAATATGAACCAGAGTTTTGCATTGCAACTTGTGTGGCCATTGCAAATTTCCAGCCTCTGAAAAATGAATGTATTATTATAAAAAAAACATGCAAATAAGAGATGCAAAAAACAATTAGAGAACAAACACCCAAGAATTTTATTAGGTTTGAAAAGTTTCTTTGGCATATGTGCCATACGTGCCATATTATTACAATGAGTATAAGCAAAAAGATTAAGTGTATTTTATTAAGTCTCTTCACTGGAGAAGAACAAATAACACTTGAATAATACTTAAACCAAGTTCTCAGAAACTTTTTTCTAAAGGAACTGACAGTGATATAGCTTAATTTAAAAGAGTATATTGATAGGATAAAGCACACATCATAAGCATGTTTGCTGTATACATGTGACACTGACCTGAACACTTATACTTACAGTACATACCATGTGTTTAAAACTGCACTTAAAGCAATAAGCTAAATTCAGAATCATCTTACCGGTCAGCTATAGCTTTGGCCATAAAGTAATCTTCAGCAATATATTGTGCAAAAGCTATCAGTCCTCCAGCTTGGTCCAAGACATCCTTCCTCATCAAGCATGACATTCCTGTTACACACTTAAAGCCAGTTAAGTTGGCTGAAATATATGACCTTGGATGTGAAGTTCCAAAATAAACCTGCCAAAACAAGATAAGGCTTTTAAAACTCTACATGTATTTATGCAAGTACTACTCACTGACAACTTTTTCTCCAAAAATGTTTCGAGGGCAAAAAGTGCTAGATGTGGCCAGTTACAATGTTGTATTTGGAAAGATCTTTACCACCAATCTAAGAAATCTAGTCTACCACTGAGAAATCTAGTATTGATACTGGCTATGTTTTTACAAATCCATAAGTGGGTTTTAAATCTACATATTAAACTAGCATGTGCCATTTGGTATTTAATTTCTAATTTATTGAGGTTGTTCTCAGGGAATACATTTATTAAAAATCCATTAAGTAACTTACTAATCACTAGGATTAATATATTATTTGGTGATAGCTGACAGACATGCTGTCTCCTTCCTCTTACAAGATTAACTGCATTAATGCGTACATGTTCTTAGAAACTTACTATATGGTGGTACAGAAGCAGGGGAATTTTGTTTACTTAATGTACTTGCAAACAAGAAATAGCAAAGAAAAAATGCAGATTGTGAGCGAGTCTTTTTACAAGATTCAATAACTTAAGACTAGGAGTGTCCTATAAAGAGACAGTGGAAATGAGTGCTAGCACCTCTCACTACTGTTCTTCCTATAGATAGCCTTCAAACTGGTCTTACTAATACAGTAACTCATTCAAGGAAAGGCATGCTCATCTTGCCGGGTACTGGATCTGGAAGCAAAAAGCTCTTCCATGAATACAGAAGCAGGAGTCGCAATTCTGGCTACTTTAGCAAGCAGCAGTACTAAGAGCTTTGTGCTATGGCTCCTTGCTCTTCTCTTGTAAAAGGAAATTCAGACTTTGTGTCACACAAAGAAAAAAATTACACGAGTTGCCCTCGCTCCATGCAATGAAGGAGTACTGAATTTCGCTGCACTTTCATCTCTCACATTTCTGCTTTTGACACACATTAGTTACCTTGGGGCCAAAATGCCTTATACATGCCAGCTTAGAATAAAAGATAGTTTATTAAGTTACAAGCCTTGAGACACAAGGAACAAACAAGAAAACGCAACCTCTTTATTCTACAAAAGAGAACTTACTGAGAAAGAAGAGAGGGGAGAATAGGACAGAATGACTGATATGAAGATGGTGGATAGGTATCAACTGTTCACTTTCTCTTCCAAAACAAGTATTAGGAGACATGAAACAGCACTATATAAGAACAAGGGTCAGAGTGAACAAGGTAGTGGTTCCTGTAACAGATAGCAGTTGATCTATGGAACTTCCTGCTAAAGACAATTATAGATGTTCAAAATCTATATGGACTCAAAGAAAGAATGGAAAAGTCCATGTAAGAAATCTGTTCTTACTAAAATACTAATACATTGAGGATTAGTAAATATACAAGTCTACTCCCTGCTCAGGAAGTCTCTCAGCTTAAAACTGCAGAAAGTTGAGACAGTATTACAGGAAAACAGGACATAGGCCTTGCTTATGTTCAACTTTCCTCAAAGGCTCTACTTATAGCCCCTGCTGGAAATAAGATACTGCATGAGCTGGACTTCACGCTGACTTGTCATGGCCATTTCTGTGTTCCTTTTCAGACATCAAAATAGAATTAATGGCCCTTTCTGACTAAGCACTAGAAAGAGTTCTTCAGTTTTAATAAATTCTTAAATAAAATCCATCATTTTAATCTTGTTTGTATTGTAAACTTTAATATTCTGCCACAACAGAATTTTGGAGCATTTAAAAGTTATCCTAGATAGTTTGAAGTGTGACTGCAGCTGAAAATAAACGTTTCTTCACTCAAAAGATGCAAGAGGCACTACACAACTTTTAGTCAGCAAGGTCTTGCAAAAAGAAAAAAAGAGCACGACAATATTGTACTCACCTGTTCAAGCGTAGCAGCAAAACCCTGTCTGTCTGCCACATAGGGAAGCCCATGGACCAAGCCTACTTTTTCAGTCATCTGATTGGCCATATCTGTCAGTGTGTCTGGCGTTACTAAGTGACAAATGAAAAAGAGATAGTTCATTGAGCAATTCTGTCATTAGCACGCTACTGTATAGAGACACTAATTCTCATGCTATTACCAATATCAAAAGCACATATACTTTGATGCACAGTACTTTGGAGCAACAGAGTTTCAGAAAAATTGTATTTGTTGATCATAATAATGATGTTAATCACTATTACTATGTAAACAGTTTGAACAGTATTTTTTTAAATGGAATTTTCACCTTTAATTAAACATTTTTATACCATGAAAATATTTTTTCCAGATTTCTAACTTTCATTTCTATTTGTATTCTCAGCCAAAATAATCTCCAGCAACTGCTTGCCTACAGGGAGTAAGAGCAATATAGCAGTCAGCACATCACAACACACACCTACCTCTGATTCCACTATCACAAATCCATATGAGATCATATTTGGCAACTTCATAGCCAGGCATTAGGTTGTTAATCTTGGGGTTGATGCCAACCTTCTTGCCACCTAAAAAATACAAACATAATACACAAATAACGTATGGGGTTTTTTTTAGAATTCAGACTCCATACCCAAAATATTTAGATATGTTAATTGAAGAACAGTAAATGTTTACCCATCAATTCTGGAAGTCCACTTTTATGAAAAGGATTTAAGTGTTAAGTATTCCTTCACTTCTATATTTTGGATCTTACTACAATTATGCAAAGAATTAAAAAGGAAAAAAAAATACTTAAATACTTCCTCAAAATGGCAGGGTAACAAGGCTAATGTGATTAAAGGGCAGTAGAACTACGAAGTTTATTACTACATTCTGTAAGGTAAATACTCTCTACCTCTAATTTCTTAAGACTACTGATTATGACCATTATACTCTACAGTAATTTTAGCAGAAAAATGAAAAAAGGAGCAGCATAAAGTGAGAGAGACTCTTTTGCTCCTAACTGACAGAATGGCTCAGTTAATTTCATGTCAGAGAAAAAAAATTACATTCTACTACCTAGTTCTAATATCCCTTCCCTCCTCTAATTCAAATGTAAAGTGAAGAAAGCCCTACAGTCTGAGCTGATGAAAAAGGGGTTTTGCAGGACATCAAGCTCAAATACAGCCACAACTCCAAGTCACTTCCTGCACATTTGGTTCAGTGCAAAGACAGGATTTAAGCCAATGTATTTCAGATGCAGAAGGAAAAAATTGCAAGGGTTGCACAAATCATTCTTCCTATAGTCTTTTTTGGACTGATGTCACAGATTGTGACCACAGACTCACTTCTTTAACCCAAACAGATGATTAAGCTACAGAACAAATGTGGGCTACACAAGACAACTGTTTATTTTAGAATACTGCATATGAAGACCTAAAAACATTTTACTTCTTCAAGTTGCACTGCTTACCTATGAACAGTCTAGCATCAATATTCGGATATTTGCCAAGGAGCTTTTTGCACACATCAATAGCTGGATCATCATGATCTTGTACACAGAGTAGTACTTCATACTAGTTAAAAAAAAAAGGTATATACAGACACACATAAATACATTTTTACATACACACACTTAATATCAATATGGTCTAGGGAATAATGCTTAACAGTGTACCAAACTGAAAAAAAAAGATCCCTGTTGTAGAATTAAAAAGAAAACCAAAAGGGTTGTTTTACATCTAAGTAAGACTTTTTTAATGCACTACCAAGTACTTGTGAGAAAAGAACCAAGCCTGTATCACAATAAACTCTTGCACTGAGGAACATTAAGTTTCCTGTTATCAGAAGGGTTTCTATTAGGCATGAAGCAAGACACCCTAGTACACAAGGTAATGTTTTTATTTCCACTTCCATTTTTGTGCACATATGAATCTTAAATACAATCTTATATTCAAAGAAATTACAGCACAAAAAAAAAAAGGAATGATGTTGCGATACACTTGACTGCATACCTCTTAACTACACCTTCCTTTCCTCTACTTTGTAGATGCATACACAGAACAGGGTTGGAAGACAACCCACAAAGACCAGTATATTATACAATCAAGTGTACATAAAGCTAAGCTCAGGAGCACGTATATGCATGTGTAAGGTATATGTATTTTCCTCACTAACAGAGTAATGGTTAAAAAAATCCACAAGAGGTAAGGGAAAACTGTAGCTATTTCAGCGATCAAGCTACATGCTTGTTACACATAAGCTACAGACAGCGGGCAAGGAACAGCATTTTAAGAATCATGCAACATTTTGAGACAGCTTTGCAAGCTTTGATGGACGTATTTCTGTTTCTGAATTAACAGCAAATTCCTTGAATACTCCTTACTTGATATAACCTTTCTCTCTCCCTGTTAAGATTACTGAACTATTACAAGTTATCAGAGCTCCAATCCAAAGAATACAACTCTGAAAATGCAAATTTCTGATCAAGACACCTAGAAGCCATTTTTGCAGTCCAAGATTTAAAAATTCAATCTCGTAAAAAACAATTTTCTTGGACCTCATTTGATATAGCAATTGTAAGTAAGAGTCCCAACTAGTGATCAAAACAGCTTTTATTCTCCTTTATACTATTCTATGACCTCACTGAACTTTATTTTCAGTAAACTACTTAAGCAAAAAATAACCTGAACTTCAAAATTTGCCTGTGGGCTAAGTGATGACAATCTCTGATGTTCTTGTTCAGCAAGAAGTATTTCATACAACAGAAGACATTAAGTTAAATAAATACATTATTTTAAGAAAAAATGGTATTGTTAAACAAAAAAAACCCAGCAACTCTAACTACATTCAGAATATTGTGGAAATTTAAAATCATTAAACACTAAATGGGAGTTGGCAAGACTTGGTCTAGCACTACAAACTACCAGACAAACATACTGCCACCTCTCAGAATGCAAACTCAAAGCCAATTTGCCTAAAGAACGAGCAGTATTTGATTCCTATCACTTTACCAGCATGGAAAATGGAATTTAAAGGGTAAAAGACCTGTCTCATTAAGCAGACAGGTCTCTCCACCACAACAGAACAATCCTGACAACACCATAGAAATTGCCAGCTGAAGAAATTAGTTCTTTATTGCTCATCCAATTAAATATCTGAAAGAACAACTAGTTTTCCTAGTAATTAAATAATTAAGCTTCAATCTACAGTTGCAATGACACTTCTATATCCCTATTCTCCAAGAAATTCAACCAGAAATAATACAAGAACTTTGACATGCAATATTTGAAAATAGAAAAATTCATAGTAAATGGCCTTTGTACGCAGTAACAAAGAACAAAACATATGACTAAAGCAGAAGAAACACAAAGATGCTTATCTAGATAAACATTACAATCATGTTCATTTAGACATAACACGAATAGAAAGATTTCTACCAAAATTACGATGCACAGTAGGTAAGAACTGTTCAGTGATAAAAATATCACATGTAAGTCCTGCAGTTTAGAGCTGCATAATCTATCTTGCATAAAAGCCAGTTATTTCACACATGGGGTATCACAGAAGAGTTTCAGAGAATTAGTATCACTGCAGGTTGAACTCAGCTTCACTAGAACAAGTTTAAGATTATTTTTTCCTAATAATTTTTCCCTGGACAGCTGAACTTTGAATATCAGGCAGTACTGTTGTTCTAATTTTTGTGGTGTAATGTCAATCTCTTAAATGAAGTATTTTTGTAGTTTTGCACAGAGGTGTTTTCAAACAGTCTGGGGACCTTGCTTGTACTGTATGATCCGTGCCCCAGTAAACTGAAGCATTTGTACGTCCCATTTGCACTCTCCTTGTGAAAAATGATTGTCACTATTGTAATCTGAAATTCAGATTTGTGTGGAGTAGCAATTAAGATTGCCACCCATACGTATAAGTTATCTGAAGTAAGGGTTGAGACTTGGTAAGAACCACCAGGAAGTTTCAAGCTACCAGTTAAGAGAATCTTTTAAATTCTCTTTTATTCCCTTTTACAGATTCTGTTACAGAACAGTTAATTGGGGAGGGTGTCTGGCCTCTCAAATGATCTTTTATAGATTGAAGGGTTTCATACTGCTATAAACACCACAATACTGTAATAAGGATTAAAATGATCTTAGTGAAGTGTAGAGTATGTTTCATCCCTAAGCCTTGGTCATGTTCCTTTACAGGCAGCTTTTTAAAAAGCACTAAGTTTTGTTTGCAACATGTAAAATGTGTAATTATGCATTTCCTGTGGAAAGAACAATCCAAGATGTAATCAAGCCGCATAGTTCTAGCCCAAGCTACTGATACGGCTTTTGGAGGTGTGGGAGGAGAAAAAGCAAGACAGTAAATAGTATACATACTTTCGGATAATCCAGTTCAAAGAAGGTTTCTAAGTTGTTGATCAGGTTAGGATCCACACCTTTTAACGGCTTTAGAAGAGAAACGCCAGGAAGCTTGCTATATGGCTGTTTGTCTGTGGCTTTCTTATTGAGATGGAGGCGTCTGTAAGGAGAAATAACATACACCACCACATAAAGAAAATATGCTAGAGAATTCCATTCAAAATACAGTCAGAACTAAGAAAGCTTAGGAGTTTAAAATTGCTGAAAAAAAGAATTAGTTTTGGTTGTAGAAACAACAGCTTTTTTAGATCTGGCAGAGATGTATCAGAGACAATGCCTAAAAAAACCTTAGCATTGTATGTAGGTTAAATTCAACTTACTCAACTTATTAGACATTTCAGATTAATGCATATTGCACTATGCATTTTGAACAATAAGAGTATCACTTTTTTCAAACTACACAGGAGACAAGATTTTTCTGCCTTCCTCCATAGCAATAAAACTCACAGTATTATTAACAGGATAGTCAGAAAAAACACTTTACTGTAAACAAGGCAAAAAAGAGAAGGGTCAGGTGCTTTTTCCTGCATTAAGTTATGCAAAACTTAAAGCAAACTGAAAGCACAGAGGAAACAGTTGATCCTACTGATCAATTTGTTAAACACTTGCAAGAAAAGGATAAGGATCAATCAACTGTAGTATAAAAATCGTAGAAATTGGACATCAGGCTGGGTCAGAAGCATAGATGAACCGAGAACACAATTCCAAACAGTCAATAGTACTTCAGCAATGAATATGCAAAGTAAATTGACGATCATGTCACAACTCACTAACGTGAATGTTTAATCCTACACTCCTGTATGAATGAATGCAAAATTAAATTCTGAAATCTCCACAGGCCAGTATGCAACCAAATTTGCATCAATATTTACATATAATTTAAATAACTGGAGAAAAAGTATTTGCCAAAACCTAAAACTGGCAAATTAGTATATACACTGCATACTGTAGTTCTCTAACATGCATAGTAGTCAGACTGAAAGAATATTTTACTGCAGCATGTACCTAATGGTATCAATTCTTAACTGAAAAACTTTCATACTTTAAAATTCACGAGATGCTGCCTCAAAAAAACCAAAAATGGGAACAGGGTTGCTTCATGGAGTGCTTCATCCTGGTTAAATGGTAGAAAAAAAGTCAAGTTCCTAGGAAGCATCGTCCTGAAGAATGTGCCTGACCAAGTGAAGTTACTGAACCACGAAGGAGCTCCACTAAGAAGAGAATCCAATAGTTGTCTACTTTTTCCTGAAATGGGACAGTGACATCCTTACATGTGTTACCTCATCCCCTGTCCCCACCCCACCCCCTCCCAGCATACTCCTTTCAGGCAGGTTTGCAGCTGGATACCAGGGGCACAATACTGTTACAGAGAATAAACAATGGGCTCACTAAAAAGACAGGACAAAGTAGATGATGTCCTTGTACTGTTATTGAGTTCAAGCCTGGGCACTACAGAGGTAAGCTGAAATAGTCTTGCTGAGCAATTAACAGCCAAGGGACAGTCAGACCAAAGTAAGAAAAGCAATAGTTCAGATAGCTACCACATACAAAGAAAGATTTGCTTACCAATTTTCACAAACATAACAGCAAACAAGGGCTTTAGTGCCAATAAGAAGGGAGAGTCTCAAGAATGCAACTTTGACCAGGAGGGGCAAAAGGTAGATAATGTAAGGAAGTACTCCAATTAAAACAGACTGTAGCAATGCACACGGCTTTGTACAGAGGCAAAAGCCTTGATGAAGAGGAAATAAGAGAAGGAAGTGGCAGAGCAAATGGAAAAAGGTAAGGAGAGAAAGGATGAAGACAGACTCGAGGCAGGACTGTGATAAAGAATAAGCATCAAGTGATAAAACTGCAGAATCTTGCAAGGTATTGTATTACAAACCACACTGACACACAGGATTGTGCAGGTGATTGAATTACATCAGGAAAAGCCTACACACAGTGTAAGAGGGAAACCTTGGAAAAGACGCAAATGAGGCATGTAGCATTGTCAGAGTCTATTCAGCTATAAAACGCCATACACTGAGACTTTTGACAGAGTATGGCTCAGTATGGTAAGACTGCCTCTAATATGCTATCTTAAGACTCCAGTTCATGTTCTATTCATAACACTGCACAAAAGTGGCAGCCTGCCATCCTGAAAACACTGTGACATAGTGACACTAAGGTAAAGCAATTTCCACACCAGTAAATGCAATGCTCTGTTAGACTCCATGGAACAAGCAGCAAATTAACAGTAAACCAGATCATTTTACAGCGAGAAGGACTATTCGTGAAGTGGCATATTCTGAAGAAGAATTAAAAAGTTACAACTGAAAACCTACCATCACCAGAGAAAGACCAACCAGTCACCATATTCAAATTAAGGCTAACATTTAACATGGAAGTCAAAATTAAATAGACTAAATTTAAAAAACATTAACATTATTGATGCAGGTATGTTTTAAATGAAATCGTGTGTTACAAAACACGCACCAAAGCCTCCAAAGTAGAGATAAGATGAAGCAGTAAGTTGGTATTTTTGAGCACTAACTTGTGCTTATGGTGGCTCAGTTCTTTCAGACAGGTGGTGTGATCACAGTGGTCCTCATTACCACAGAGCACTTACGACACATACAGTTCAAAATGATAAAGGAAAGTAATCCTTTCACAAAGTCTGCATCATATATAGAATATTACATATTATTTTGCACTGAAATTAGCCCAAAGCAATCAAAACCACTAACTATACAGATGTACTTGCTTAATGTATTTTTTTCTACCTCTGCCTAATGCAGTAAGCTGTAGAAAAACACTACACTAAGGAACGTATAACAACTTTGAGCTCTGAAATAGATGCTGGCAGAGCACTATTTAAAGGCATTTTCAGATCCTGTGTGTGAAAGACCAGTAGCCAGGTTATCTATAAGCGCTTTTGCACCTACATGTATTAAATCGATCATCCTGTAATCCCTAGGTAGTGAAGCAGTGAAGCTCCTTCTGAGCAGTCTAGTGCTGATACACATAGGTAGGGAAAGAAAAAAGCAGCAGGATGCATAATGGTGTCAGGAGCTATAGTTCAACTTTCCTATATCATGTAAGAGGCATCTGCAAAATTTTGTCAAACTTAGTTGCTTAACACGGTAATAATTAACCTGCAGAAGAGACTGTAATCTAGATTTCTTCTCTCAACACAGGAAAAAAAAGTATTTCCAAAGACAAAATCCAGGCTAATGAGTTATCACTGCCCAGTATACTACATGATGAATTCTTGCTAACCTGTATCAAATTAAGCAACATAACTTTTGGTTTTTTAAAGGCCAAGACTACACTTCCTCCCCCCACCTCATTAAGGGCAGAGAGTATTCTAGCAAAAACCAAAAGCTTGCTACAGTAGACAGGCTGCTGGGTCTCTCAGCTGAGATAGTTAACATATGCCTTTTAGAAGCAGCTGAAAAAACATAAACACTCTTTATTCACTCATTTCAACTTTCCCTCAGCAGCTACCTTACTTACAAGATTACCCTATTAGGGGGAGGTAAGTAATCCTTGGTCAGAAATTTGTAACAGATACTTAAATATTGCAAGACAGCACTAGCAAGATTCAGGAAGCACTGAAGACATCCCTTGAAGGCTATGGTTCCACAGGCAATCAAGATAAGAGAGGAGATCATTATTTCTAAAAGGGTTTATTTTCCTGCTTCTACTTCTGAATTCACACACTCCGCCCCTCCCCAGTTGTTCTTCATGGTAGTAAGCTGAACCATCTCACACAGGTGTTTGTGGAGTGTTGGTCTGCTATGGAGTAAACACAGGAGACCTCAGCTTGAACAGGAAAAATAAGATATGAGATTATCCTGCTTCTTTTGGCAACAGAAAGGTAAAAAGGACAAGGTCCCCATATCTTCCTACATTTTACATTATCGTGTGTTAAAACATTTCCAAAAGTAGGTACCTTTATGCACAGAAATAAAAATGAAATTTGCTACAGATAAACCACACTGGTCAGAGCATTAAATACAACTGGAAGAAAGATTGGACGAGTCAAAAAAGTACTAGAGACAACCCCTGAATTCATGAAAGGGTTAACAGCACCCTTGCTTCACAAAGACTAATATCAGCCCATTTAAAATCCTACCACATTAATGTAATGGTATAAAGACAATTCCACATAAGAAGGCATAGATAACTACCAAGTAAGTTTCAGTATCTCACAGCAGTAACTTTTTATACAGTCATCTGATCATTTCACAATTAAGTAACCAAGAACACTTTATATAGAGAAATTGTACTTTCATATATTAAAATAATATATGCATACTTATATATTCATAGATAGAATA